CTTTTGTCAGTTCTTACTATAAAATAAGAGAACATTTTAATTAGGGAAAGAAACAGCTCTATGCAGCATTTACATATTTATTCTAGATAGTGTACCTACTATACTTCTCCACTAACTCACCTATCCTTAATTTATAAATTATTGAACAATCGCAATATCAACGATTAGCACAAATGTAATGAATTAAACTGCTGTGCCTGCATGTACAGGGATGAGATTCAGATAATTTAATTTTCAGCTTGAAATTTTTAAATTAGGAAACAGAGGATGCTCGAGCATTATGGTGAGGTACGCGTAGGTCATCGCCATGCCTAGGGGGTCCGGAGCATGCTCCCCGAATTTTTTAAAAAGAATGCGTTGCAATTTTGCTGCATTCACCAAATTCTGTTTCCACCACTATTCTGAACAATATATAGGAGACTCTTGAATCACCTTTTCAAGTTGTCCAAAAGGAAACAACGACATATAATAGGAAATCTCAGCGGCTGAAAAACTTAGGGCTAAGTTTTTTTATTAAATGTCTAGACTTAATGTATTTTTTCTGTTTCACCCGTTCGCTCTGCATTGGTTACACTCAGACCTAAGCTGGCCTTGCTGCGGACCAGATTTGAATGAAAAAAACACAATGCGGTAATTGGAACAAGTCATGCATAATCCATGAACACAAACATTCACAACAGCACACAGTAAACCCGGCCCCCAGGCCAGCATCGTCGTTACGTGATCAGCTACCTCGAAATGTTTGGCCCCTCTACTGCAGTCCTGCTGAACAGGGATTTTTCTTTTCTTGTGTACGCAAAAACAGATACGACTGGTATACTTCGCTGTCAGCCTACTGTCTACACTGCTACAGTTACAGTCAGTGTGCTGGAGGATATATTAATATTAAATTGTTACAGTTGTTACCCCCTTCGCCAATTTTCTCAACGAATTTAGGACGTTTACAAACATCGACCCCTAGGGACTTGTCAAATCGCGGATTTCCGCGGATGCCGCGAAGAATCTGCATCCCTGCAATGTATGACGCCACAAACCTCACGCTTTCTACTATTTAACCTTACAGTTATACACGAAAATTTACAGGTTATAATTTACACGCGTATATCAACACGTCTCATGGTGTTCGCAAAGCTGAGTAATTAACGTTTGTGTTTTATGTAGGCAGACGGGGGATATCTTCATTAGACCTGCATCTCGAGATGCTGGTAGCATCTTGTCTTACTAGATCTGTCAGGAACTCTGATATGTATGTGACTTTCTATGTGTAAACGGCCTTCACAAGAGGGTCTGAAAAGATATACACGTGATTAGACATGTGGACGACAGTAATGGTGACAGGGTGAAGAAAACATAGGAAGGTTCGCATACACATGAATTAACAATGGCAAATGCGATATGTCTTCAAAAGTATTCATGATTTTGTGGATCGTGCAATTACGAGTACCAGTCAAACGGTCAAAAACACTCCGGGTTCCTGATAGCAAGCGAAAACCGAGATTCACGAAAGAATTGATTTGGTAATAATTAGCATTGCGCTATAAAAAGCTAACGGACCGATTAAACCTCAGCCTAACCAAAAAGACTCAAAACCAAATAGGTTATTTTATCACTAGTATCTATTAGTAACACTAGTCTCATCAGCCTTACTACAGACAAATCGTGTACCATATACGCCCGATACATACACAAAACCCCAGATTGGAACCATTATTCTGTGCGACGAGCCAATGTCTCTTGCTAGGACCCTTCATACCCTTGCTGCCCAAGCAAATTGCGAAATTCTGTAGCTGACCAAGACGTCTGGGCAAAACTGATCACGTCACTCTGTTTTAATAACCTTTGAAAGGCCTGCTTGTATCATATCACTTTTACTGATGTAAGCTCAGCACTTTGAGCAACGGCTGCCATTCGCGCACCATTCTCTACTCTCAAATCCATGGTAGATATCCGGGTTGCGGCCGCCGGACAGAAAATATTGCCTGAACAACCTAAACAATTCACAGACTTATTTCAACCCTAATCTAAAATGCAACGAATGCTGATGAGGCAATATGAAGATTAGGACTACACTTGTACACGTATGCTACACAGAGATATACGTTACGACTGAAAACTCTTAGACCTGACAGATACTTACATTGATCTTCTAACAACCATAAAAAAGTATACACAAGGCCAAACCACATTCACCTGTTCACCAACGGTATATCATAACACAGGCGCCAGATTATCGATCACAAGCTCCTCTTCCAACAAGCTGAGCATAGGGTCTGCACAGTCTGAAGGGGCCACACAAAATCTCAGAATTTTCAATTCTCATATTCGTTAAGTTTCTACCTTATTCTTGTTATATAATTGCCAAATAGCGGCCTCGACAGCTTCACCTAGCCTTAGACGGCCTCACCCTGTCTAATCTGAACGCGCTGTTACCAACAACAAAAGACAGCCTTCCGCTCCGCGCGAACCTGGTTTCTAAACTGCAGCAATCCCTCATCTTAGATTGATACAACAACACACAAACAACAACAAACAACCGGGCCTTCCGCCAGCAGCACCTGGCGTATTCTAACCTGCAGCAGTCCGTCGGTTCAATTATTTTGACAACACAACAACAACAGACAACAACAAACCAACAACAATAACAATATACCAACAACAAGCAAGGCAAACAGGGGTGCTCCGCCGCGCACCTGGGTGTTCGTAAACTGCGGCCAATCTCGTTCACAAGTTTTACGACAACCAACAACCAACTAGAGCAAGAGTGCGGCACTCACGGAGTGGCATGACCTCCGCCCTGGCGGATAGCGACACTACGCCATCTCAATTCGGACTTCGCACGGAACACACGGCAATAACCCCTATACTACGCCAGTCGTCTCGACATTACACGGCTCCGCATAGTAACATGTAATGTGTTGACGAGCTGCAGTTCCGCTTTGGTGCTCGATGGCTTGCTGGGCTCGCTGGACTTTGCTTGGAGTCGGCTGTGCTCGCTGAGTGTGGTGACTATCGATCTACGGCCAAACGACATACGCCATACGACCTCAACCGCTTCTCAATATCCGACTCAGGTGCGAACACACGAACACACAAGAGCGAAAAACATAACCTCGGTCCACACTATGCTTGGGCGCGACCTCGGGGTAACTATCACGTGACCTCCCTCCACGCCCGGGGGATAGCAACACCCCTGCAGTAGAGGGGCAAACATTTGAGGTAGCTGATCACGTAACGACGATGCCTGGCCTGGGGGCCGGGTTTACATGTTGCTGTGTGCATGTTGTGTTCATGACTATGCACTGATTGTTCCATTCGCATTGTGTTTTTTTCATTCAAATCTGGTCGCAGCAAGGCAGCTTATGTCTGAGTTAAACAATGCAAGCGACGGGTGGAAACAGAAAAATATCATTAAGTCTAGACATTTAATAAAAAAACTTGCCCTATTTTCAGCCCCCTGATTTCCTATTATAGTTCGTTTGTTCCTTTTGACAACTTGAAAAGGTGATTCAAGAGTCTCCTATAATTTGTTCAGAATAGTGGTGGAAACAGAATTTGGTGAATGCACAAAATTGCACCATTCTTTTAAAAAAATTCCGGGGGAGCATGCTCCCGGACCCCCCTAGCATGGCGATGACCTACGGTCCTCCCATTGCTCGCTCCTCTGTTTGCTAATTAAAATTTCAGCTGAAAATTAAATTATCTAATCTCATCCCTGTACATGCCAGGCAGAGTTTAATTCATCATTTGTGCTATCGTTGATATTGCGATTGTCATTACTTTATAAATAAGGATAGGTGAGTTAGTGAGAAGTATAGTAGAACTATCTAGAATAAATATGTAAATGTGCATAGTGTTTCTTCCTAATTAAAATTTTCTCTTCTTTTAATGTAGAACTGACAAGTTATCTAAACTGCAGGCCATACCTGGCAATATTAAAATATCCGTGGAAGAGTTAAAGGTGACAGTGGCAAGGCAAGGAGAGGAGCGGTCTGGTCAGCAAATGTCTCAAGCAAAGGAGAAGGCCACTCAAGGAGTACTACCTAGTGAGTAATATTTAAAAGCAACTGTCTGCAATTGTCTCAGTATAGACAGATAAAATAGGTTATAATTGTTCTAGTATTCTATTTGTTGCAGTACAACAGATAAGATGATGCATTGCATGGCCTGATGCACGCTTTAGATTTAAGAAAAAAAGAAACATGGCCGAAAATGTTGATTTCATCATTTTCGTTTGTTTGTTCTGTAAGATTGCCTGACGCCGTCGCTGAAACCTGTGAAGCCATTTCCCGAGCCGCCGACACATCCCGTGTCGTACGAGGTGGAGGAGTTCCTACCTGACTTCAGCACCAGCTTCCCACACACGACCTACATCAACAATCTCTACGTGTACCCGATACACTTGAAGTACGACACACAGAAGTGCTTCACGAAGGTGAGCGGAATGCACACGTTTGAGACGATTTAAGTTGAGAGTCTGAGAAGTTTGAGCGTATATGTATGCGGTGGATATCTTTGTTTGAAGTTATCAGCGTAAGGCATTTGTTTGATGAGTGTTTCGCCAGAGTAAATATCATAACTTGAAGATAAGCTTATGCTGTGTTAGATGTTGACGTTTTATCTGTGGAAGTACTGTGATTAAATTATAACATGGGCTGGTTTATTTGTTTGTTTCCAGGCCAGAAACATTGCTTGTGTGATAGAGTTCAAAGATAGTGACAGTGCCACTTCTGCTCCTCTGAAGGTATGCAAATAAAACTTGTTTGTTTTTCATAATCTCTGTTCAGTATTTAAAAAATGTAGAATTAATTTTTTTTTTTAAATATACAATATATATATTTAAAAAATATTTTCTATAGAAATAAACTCTCTGGACGTATTATTAGAACATAATTAATCTTGCTGTTTTGTTGCTTTATTTACTGTACTGTTATCATGACTGTTGGTTTTACACCATAACTTTGTTTACTTTTGTAATAATCACGATGACGACTTGTGTATCACACATGTTAACACCTTTCTGGTGTTTTCAGCGTATCTATGGTCGCCCGGGCATGCCAGCATTTGTAACAACAACAAGTGCAGCCGTGCTTCACCACAGCACCACTCCAGATATGTACGAAGAGGTATTCATACAACACAATCAGTTCTGTTATTAACTGCTTTTTCTTTGGGTACTGGTGAATGTGGATGTGGACGGCTTAGCGTTGACTATGTTAGCCCGTGATTACTTAGAATCTGTCAGCATCTACTGGACATTGCTTATAAATCATTAATTTGCTCATAAGTCAATAATTTGGTTGATCATAATTACTGTCCGACTCTTACTCTGCGCAGCATTGCCACTGTCCAGTGTCCTCATTGTAATTTTCCCGTAACTGTGGCAAATGTTTCACTCAGCGTTGTTATTTGACATTGTGTCGTCATGGGATCTGTTGCAGTACATGGAAGACGTTGCTAAGGAATTGTGGATTCTGTTGTTCGTGCCGTATAGGTGATGAAGTTCTTCTTTCATTTCTCAGGTGAAGGTTGCACTGCCACTGCAGCTGCACAGCAAGCATCATATCCTGTTTCGGTTCTTTCACGTCAGCTGCGAACTTCCCAAGTCGTCCATGAAGAAGAAGGACAATGTGGAGACGGCTGTGGGATATGCATGGCTTCCGATTCTACAGAACAATGTGTAAGTTATATAAATAGAGAGTACATGTGGTATATGTACCATACAACATGTGTATCTATATATGCGTGCGTGTGTGTGCGTGTGCATGCGACCGTGCTTGCGTGTGTATGTACATGCATGCAAATATGAATGCGTGCATGCATGTACGTGCGGCAATAGATGAATAGACTGATGTAATTATGACATCATGTTGAATCCACTCTAGTTTTAGTGTATTACGGGTTTATTAGTACGTCTTGCTGCTATGGTAATTGGTGTGCTATCAACCTGACCTCCTATGATACAAGAAATGTATGCGTGAGAATGCAAAGAACTGCATTTCAAATGCACACTCTATAAAGAATGAAGAAGGCAGCTAGTGTGCATTTAGCATGGTAATGTAGATGGCTAGGCTAGAGATAATATATGCCATATAATGCCATGGCGCAATGCACGCACATCAGTAGAAATGCAGTCGTAGCAAGTTTTTACAAGTTTGATTCATATGTTTTAGTGTCACTGTGGGAGAACACAGCATCTGTGTCGCACAAGAATTGCCTGCTGGATATCTGACCTCTGACCCTCAAAGCTTCGGGAAAGGGGTACGTCTTGTAATTACTAGAAGAACATGGTTGCCTCAGTTATGTGTGTGTAATGGCATTGTTAATTTAATGATTAATGCTGGGTGTTGAGATGCTTATCGAATATAATGGCTGAATTGTGGTTTGACTTTTGATTTTGACTTTGGTTTGACGTACCACATTATATAACCCCACCATCATTCGGTGAATAACTATGGTAATGTTGTTTGAAAGATTTCTAATTAAGAATTTTGAATGGAAAGTACCACCAATTCGATAGTAATGTGAACAAAGTATTCATGCTAGCTGTCAAGTTGATTATAATGCATTAACCAATATATATAACCACATACATATATACATATACATATGTGTATACTAGTAGTGGTCTATGTTTGGTATAAGTAACATGATTTACGATGATTTGCATGCCAGTGTGCAACATGAAAGATTGAGAGCAGTGTGTTAACTCGGTGATGTCATTTATATAATATTTATGATGTCTTATTTATTACACTATAATTTTATCAGGAGCTTATAAATATATTTCCATTTATAAGCTCCTGATTTTATATGCATAACTATGTATAATATTACGATAAATATAATGAATACTGTTCTGGTTTTTCTGTTTTAAAGCTTAGATTCATAACTACTTCACCATGTAAGATATCGATACTTTATGCTCACTATTTATGCTGTGTTCTCAATCTTTCACTGAAACTTTTATAGTATGCTGGCCCTATCATCAAGTGGGTGGACAATTCCAGGCCCGTGTTTAAGGCTAGCTTGAGGCTCTTGTCTACAGTGTACACCAAGGTAATTATATCTACTTATTGTATTTCTAGGTAGTTACTTATGCCAATTGCTCCTACTCATGGACTGTAACCTTCATAATGGTTTCATGGAAGCAAAAGCTATGCAATACGATTAGGGGCAGCAGTGGGAGGCACCAGTGTTAACTATGTCTTTTCTAGTGCATTTGTCCTAGCTATTGATACTCAGTATTCACTTTAGAATGATATTCAAAGCAAATAACTCTGTTATGTTATGTTAAGAAAGCGCATAAGGATGTTTATTTTATATTTTCTCTGTAGGATGTTCATCTGCAGAAGTTCTTTAGTCACTGTGAGAAGTTAGAGGACTCTGCAGACCCTGTAGACAAGAGTGAGACTGTAAACTTAGTCAAGGTAAGAGCTATTATTTATCCTGCTAATGCAGTCTATATAGTGAATCCATGTGATTTACAACACACACGCCCACGCACTCAGACGCGACCCACACATGTACAAGTGTTTACTCATGGGAATTTATATATGACCTTATTTCTTAATTTGATATTGTCTTTAATATATTGCCATAATCGTTTTGCTTTTTGTCTATTTACCATTGGTGGTTTTTCTGAAGATAATTTCTTTTCTTTTCATGATTGTATTTAAAAATACAGCACAGTGTATTTCTAATCTGCCTACTCCTGTAGCTTGCACCTCCAACAGCTTTTACAATCGTTATTAATCGTGTTTCTACGACCCTGTCTATCTTGAGTAGGTTCATAAGTACTGCCTCTTATCTGGTTATTTCCTTATGTCTGTATACTTTAACTTACGTGTCACTTGGAGATACGAGGATAATAATGACATTGGATAGGCTATTTACGCTGCTTGGGCGTACACCTGTGCATTCTGCCAGTCGTTCAGTATGCAGTCAGTAGCATTTTGCCTTTTTCTCGTGCATCTAGATAGTCTAGAACTAAAGTGTTCCAGGGTTGTTGTTGGTTTTGGTTGCTAACAGTAAATATAATTGAGGTTTCTCTTGTGTTTCGAGGTGGTGGTCTTTACGCTTGTGTTTTCAGTCCTGTTGCATGAGCATTTCATGTTTAAACATTACGCGGGTGTCTAGAAGTCTCGGTGTTGGCCGATAGCTCACTTCTCTATCTTATCTGTGGGCGTGCTGAACGTTTATCATTCTGATATCCATGTAAAAACATGTTTGCAGAACCCATGCCGTATCTGAGATTGCAGTAGCTACTTGAAAAGCCTATTTGACAATTTCTAATGTTTTAACCCCGTGACGCTGCGGCGGTACATAAAAGGCCAAGTTTTATAATTGCAAGTCATTCTCTGACTGAAAAAAATGGAGGCTATTGGGCCTACGAGCGCACAAATCCCCCAGCAAACTACATATATAACAATCTTAGTTCGATTGCCTCAAGTCAGAGTGTGATTGATTGGAGCCCACTAAATTCACGAGCACACAAATACATGGCAATATAAATATAAAAAATCTTAGTTCAGTTGCTGCAAGTTATGATTGATTGGAAACCACCGAATCTGTGAGCACATGAATACACGGCAAGGTCGCTAAAGGGCTGTACACACTAGGCGATTAAATCGGGCGACTAAATCGCCGGTGAAATCGCCTAGCGTGTCCAGTCAGTCGCCGCCGATTTAATCGCATAGATCAAAACGTTTTGATATTATCGGGCGATTATTTCAGTCGCCCCATAAAATCGCCTAGTGTGTCCACTCGACTCGCGCGATAGAATCGGGCGATATTATCGGGCGATAAAGTCGCCCGATTAGATCGCATTAAAATTGCCTAGTGTGTCCGGCCCATAATATAAACCCTATCATGCATTGATTGGTTCACACAGGGGTGCTGATTGCACTAATCTTTCAGCACTGTGAAACCATAAAACCAAGCTACTTATACTGCAGCAACCCAAATACTGATGTTCAAACAGCAGTATATACTAATAATAACTATAAGTATTACTAATAAATTAATACTAAACAGCAGTGCTGGGCCTAAAGTGGGTAAAGGAGGTAGAGGAGGTAGAGGAGGTAGAGGAGGTAGAGGAGGGAAGAAGATAGAAGGAAAGGGTAGAGAACTGGAGAATGTAGAGAATATGGGAATACAGAGGCCAACAGAAGAAATGAAAAAGGCCAAGTAAATAGAGAAAATGGAGAAAAGTGTTAATAAACACCTCCGCCGCACGTATTGTGTGGGATGTTGTGCGTGGCTAGTGGACAAATACTTTTGTCTCAATATTTTACCAGCAAATTTCCTGACATGCGCACGGGTTCTGCATGCAAACACAGTCTCTCGGCGAGCAGTCGTCTGCTTTTCGGCCAATCCTTACTGCCTTTGCACGGGACCTCGCTGTTAGTTGCTCCTATATATATATATATATATATATATATATATACATATTACATATATGTATAGTTTAGTTGCTATAGCCACGTACGTCGCTCTGTTCGCGTCCGTGTGTCGCACTGTCATCGCTGATGTTTGCATGTTTTCGACGCTTTGCGTGTGAAGCCGAAGACGGACATGAGAAGCCTCGTTGAGTTCGCATCAGGAGACTTCCACAGAGAGCTAGCTAACTCAGTGAAGGTAATGACGTCTCGTAAGCCCCGTCTACACGAGGATTTTTAACCCGGGTTAAGCGTCTACACGAGGGCCTAACCCGGGTTAACTAACGCAGGATACGTCTTAACCCGGGTTAGTGTAACCCCGCGATGTGAGGAGGGTTAACTAACCCAGGTTAAGAGCATAGTTCCTTAACCCTGCGATAGACGGCGATAGTGAACAATAGTCCACTATAGACAATAGAACAATAGGAACGTCTCGCGTGGCAGAACCGCTCAATCGTGGAGCGGGTGGTGCTCGTGTAGACGCTACTCATTTCTTATCTTGGGTTAAGCTAACCCGAGACTGTTCTTAACCCGGGTTAAGGAAACGTCGTGTAGACATGGCTATAGTTTGTGTCGCTGTTCTCTCTGCTCCGCTCCGCTCTACGAGTGTATAAACAAGGTCTATGTCCTTCTCTCTCCTCCGCCGCACGAGCGTAGAGGAGCGTTGTAAAATGTGGCTTGCGAAATCGAGCCCCCTACTTTGCGAGAGAAGGGTTGGTTCGTCGGGCTAGTCTGTAGTGGTCGTGATTTATGGTGTACGTTTTAATGCAGGTAATTTCAGGTTGCCAGTTTTATGAAAGCACACACCCACACACACATCGACAGACTCGGTTACAACACAGACACAGGCACAAGCACAGACACAGAGTCAGCCAGAGACATAGATATAGAAACAGACAAAGCTATAGCTACAGAAAGAGACATGCACATGCACATGCACTTTCCTGAAATACACCTCACAGAGACATACCATTCACACAAATGCACCGAAACATGTTATATGTATTCTTTTCTTGCAAAAAGAGCACGAGCATAATTGAGTGATGAATTTACCTCACCAAGTTCACCTATGCTGGCTTGCTTCATTGCAATACATGATGTAATCAACACAACTATGCTATGCCTATACACAATATGTATTCGTTCATCATGCTGTTTTATCGTACGAGTTGAAAGTGTCATCCATGTGCACAGAGAGATATGAATTGCATTGAGAACGTGAGCGTATGTAAGTGAGCGGTCTGTGAACTACATGGGGGTTGCGTTTAGAACGTGAGCGCATGTAAGTGAGCGGTCTGTGAACTACATGGGGGTTGCGTTTAGAACGTGAGCGCATGCAAGTGAGCGGTCTGTGAACTACATGGGGGTTGCGTTTACAACGTGAGCGTATGTAAGTGAGCGGTCTGTGAACATACACTGGGGGTTGCGTTAAAGCGTGAGCGCATGTAATGAGCGGTCTGTGAAAATTACATGGGTTGCGTTTAGCAACGTGAGCGGTATGTAAGTGAGAGGGTCTATGTCCGGCTGGCACTATCGGAGGGTAACCTGGGTATGGTTCGATATATCGAAAGTACTACGGGGTAGCTATACCGATATTGTCGGCTGCGATCCCTCAGTTAGTCCACGTACCCTGACTTTCGAGCCAACTGATGTCGTAATACATACACTCTGTCAAGTTACCACATCACATAGAAGAAACCTCAAAACATCGCAATCCAATAAAAATGTATGCTATGTTTGACTATATTTTTCTTTTTCCTTTTTTTTAAACGAAGAGCTAGCTTTTATATTTTAGTTTTACAACATCGGAAATACATCAGTTACAAGTCAGGGTACGGTGGGACAATGCAGGGCAAGGCCGTACACAGGAAATTTTCTGTAGGGGGGCAAATACGCAGGAAATTTTCTGTAGGGGGGGCAAAGGTACTCCCCACGCCCTCTATTGCCCTATTTGTCCCATTAAAAGGCATACTCTGGAAATCTCTAGGGGGGGGGGCAACTGCCCCTGCTGCCCCCCTGCTGCGTACGGCCTTGATGCAGGGTACGCAGCGACATATAGTATAGTACACCGTGGTACTTTCCAATATATCGAACCGTACCCAGGGTAGCCTCCGATAGTACTCTGGGGGACATAGACCTTATCAGCGTAAGTGAGCCATCTGTGATGTGAACTACGTCGGGGTTGCGTTTGCTGTTGCGCAGGTGCTGCACGCGGTGGAGATCAGCACGATCATCCGCTTCCTGCCGCCGACGTTCAACCAGCTGTTTCGTCTGCTGGCGGCGTGCGCCAGCGACGACGTCTCCCAGAACACCATCCGCCTGCTCATCCACGTCGTGCAGGGCATACACGCGGCGGGAAAGCCTGACATCCTGCACACATACGTGAAGGTACTCGCAGTCTCGCATTTACTGTAACGCACCTTACACTCACTTATTACACGCGGCGGGAAAGCCTGACATCCTGCACACATACGTGAAGGTACTTGCAGCCTCGCATTTACTGTAACACACCTTACACTCACTTATTACACGCGGCGTGCACTCATTCTTCTCATGCTCACAGTCCACTAGTGCACTCATTCTTCTCATGCTCACAGTCCACTAGTGCACTCATTCTTCTCATGCTCACAGTCCACTAGTGCACTCATTCTTCTTAGTGGGCACTAGTGGATGTGAGCATGAGAAGAATGAGTGCACTAGTGAACTGTGAGATAGAGAAGGAATGTGAGTGCACTATTTGAACTGCTGCGCATGAGAGAAATGGTGTACTATGTGAAAACTGTGAGCATGAGAAGAATGAGTGTACTAGTGGGACTGTGAGCATGAAGAAGAATGAGTGCAGCTCAGTGATAACTGTGGCATCGAGAAGACAATGAGATGTACTTAGTCGAACTTTGAGCAATGAGTAAGAATGACGTGCCACTAGTAGACTGTGGCATGAGAGAATCGAGTGCACTAGTGGACTGTGAGCATGCAGAAGAGATGAGTGTACTAAGTGAACTGTGAGCCATGAGAGAATGAGTGTACTAGTTTGAGACTTGAGACTCGACGAAGAAATGAGTGCACTAGTAGGACTGTGCAGCCTATGAGACGAATGAGTAGTACTATGGACTGTGAGCATGATGAAGAATGAAGCTGTACTAGTGGAACTGTGAAGCTTGAGAAGCAATGTAGTGACTAACTGAACTGGAGCATGAGAAGAATGAGTGCCCACTGTGGACTGTGAGATGATGAAGAATGAGTGCACTAGCTGGACTGTGAGCATGAGAAGAATGAGGCACTAGTGGATGCTGGAGTATGAGAAGAACGGTGCACTAGTTGGATGGTTGAGCCCATGGAGAAGAATGAGTGTCACTAGCTTGAACTGTTGAGCATGCAGAAGAAATGAAGTGCACTAGTGCGACTGTGCGCCATGAGAACGATATGAGTGTACTAAGATGGACTGTGAATCATGGAAGAATGAGTGTACTAGTGGCTGTGAGCTATGAGAGAATGAGCTGCACTAGTGACTGTGCATGAGCAAGGAATTGGGGTGCCATTAGTTGGGATGTGAGCATCGAGAAGAATGAGTGCACTAGTGGAATGTTGCCAGCATTGCACGAACGAATGTAGCTAGTACTAGTGGACTGTGAGCCATAGAAGAATGAGGTGCCTAGTGGACTGTGGCAGCCATGGAGAATGAGTGCACTAGTGGACCATGTTGAGTATGGCAGAAGAACGAGTACTTAGTGAACTGCTGAGCAGCAGAAGAATGACGTGCCACTAGTGAACTAGTGAGTATGAGAAGAACGAGTGTACTAGTGGCGACTGGTGAGCATGAGAAGAATGGTGCTACTAGTGCGACTGTGGGCATGCAGAAGAATGGTGTACTAGTTCGGACTTTGTGCTCATTGCAGAAAGAATGACGTGCTACTAGTGAGACGTAGTGAGCATGAGAAGAATTGAGTGCACTAGTGGACTGTGAGCATGAGAAGAATGAGATGCGACTGGTGCGACTGTGAGCATTGAGAAGAATGAGTGCACGCCGCGTGTAATAAGTGAGTGTAAGGGTGTTACAAGTAAATGCGATGGCTGCAAGTACCTTCACGTAATGTGTGCAGGATGTCAGGCTTTCCCGCCGCGTGTAATAAGTGAGTGTAAGGTGCGTTTACAGTAATGCGACGGTGCCGAGTACCTTCACGTATGTGTGCAGGATTTCACGGCTTTCCCCGCCCGCGTGTAATAAGTGAGTGTATAGTGCGCTTACAGTTTAAAAAAAGGCGAGACAGCGAGTACCTTCAGCGTAATGTGCTGCAGGTATGTCAGGGCTTTCCCGCGGTGTATGCCTGCACGGACGTGGATGAGCAGCGCGGACGGTGTTCTGGCGCAGACTGTTTTCGTCGCTGGCGCCAACGCCGCCGCATACGAACAGCTGGTTGAACGTCGGCGGCGCAGGAAGCGCGCATGATCGTGCTGATCTCCACGCGTGCAGCACCTGCGCAACAGCAAACGCAACCCGACGTAGTTCACATCACAGATGGCTCATTTTACGCTGAATAAGCCGTCTATTTCCCCAGAGTTACTATCGGAGGCCTACCCTGCGGTACGAGTTCCAGAATATTGGGAAAGTTACACGGTATATAGCTATATGTCGCCTGGTACCTGCAATCAAGCCGTACGCCAGCAGAGCGGCAGCATGGAGCAGTTGCCCTCCCCTAGAGATTCCTACAGAGTATGCCGCTTTTAATGGGACAAATAGGGCAATAGAGGGCGTGGGGGCTCTACCTTTGCCCCCCCTACAGAAAATTTCTGCCACGTATTTCGCCCCCGTAACAAAAATTGTCTGCGTACGCGCCTATGCCCTGACCATTCTCCCACCGCTACCCTGGACTTGTAAATTGAATGTATTTCCGCCATGTTGCTAAAACCTAAAAATAAAAAGTAGCTCTTCCGTTTAAAAAAAAGGAAAAGAAAATATAGTCAACATAGCAGTACTTTTTAGTTGGATTGCGATGTTTTGAGCGATTTTTCTATTTGATGTGGTAACTTCGACAGAGTGTATGTATTACGACATCAGTTGGCTCGAAAGTCAGGGTACGTGGACTAACTGAGGGATCGCAGCCGACAATATCGGTATAGCTACCCCGTAGTACTTTCGATATATCGAACCATACCCAGGTTTAGCCCTCCGATAGTGCCAGCCGGACATAGACCCTCTCCATTACATACCGCTCACGTTGCTGAACGCAACCCATGTAATTTTCACAGACCGCTCATTACATGCGCTCACGCTTTAACGCAACCCCCAGTGTATGTTCACAGACCGCTCACTTAATGCGCCTCACGTTCTTTAACGCAACCCCATGTATTCACAGACGCTCACTTGCATGCGCTCACGTCTAACGCAACCCCATGTAGTTCACAGACGCCTCACTTACATGCGTCACTTTCTAAACGCAACCCATGTAGTTCACGAACCGCCCTCACTTACATACGCTTTCACGTTCTCAATGGCAACTTCATATCTCTCTGTGACATGGGATGACACTTTCACCTCGATCCGATAAACAGCATGATTAACGATGACATATTTGTGATATAGGCATAGCATAGTTGTGTTGATTACATATGTATTGCAATGAAGCAGCAGATAGGTGAACCTTGGTGATGGTAAATTTTCATCACTCAATTAATCCTCGTGCTCTTTTGCCACGAAAGAATACATATAACATGTTTCAGGTGCATTTGTGTTGACTGGCTATGTCCTCTGTGAGTGGTATTTAGGAAAGTGCCATGTGCATGCTGACCATGTCTCTTTCTGAGCTATAGCTTCTGTCTGTTTCTATATCTATGTCTCTGCGCGTGGACTCTGTGCTCTGTGCATTGTGCTGTGCTCTGTGTTGTACCGAGTCTGTCGATGTGTGTGTTGGGTGTGTGCTTTCATTAAAACTGGCACCCTGAAATTTACCTGCATTAAACGTACACATAAATCACGATCACTACAGACTAGCGCCGAGCGAAAACCCTTCTCTCGCAAAGTACGGGGCCTCGCATTTCGCAAGCCACATTTACAACGCTCCTCTAACGCTCGTGCGCAGGAGGAGAAGAAGACATAGACTCTTGTTTATACACCTCGTAGCAGCGGAGCGGAGCAGACAGAACAGCCACACAAAACTATAGCCCGATGTTACACGCACGTTTCCTTAACCGGTTAGAAAACAGTCTCGGGTTAGTCTCAACCAAAAAAAAATAAAAAAAAAAAAAAATGATAAGAAATTGAGTAGCGTCTACACGAGCACCACCCGCTCCACGATGAGCGGTTCGCACGCGAGCGTTCCTATTGTCTATTGTCTATAGTGGACTATTGTTCACTAATCGCGTCTATCGCAGGCGTTTAAGGAACTATGCTTTAACCTGGCTTAGTTAACCTCCTCACATCGCGGCGGTGACATACCGGGTTTAAGGTATCCTGCAGTTAGTTACCCAGCGTTATGCGCTCGTGTTTAGAACGCTTACCCGGTTAAAAAATCCTCGTGTCAGACGGGGCTTACTTCCAGAGTCTTACTTCACTGAGTTTAGCTAGCTCTCTGTGGAAGTCTCCTGATGCGAAATCAACGAGGGCTTCTCATGTCGTCTTCGGCCTTCACACGCAAAAGCGTCGACAACATGCAAAACATCAGCGATGGACAGTGCGACACACGACGCGAACAGAGCGACGTTACGTGGCTATAATGCAATAAACCTATAATATATTGTAATATGTATATATATATGATATATATAGTATGATAATATATATATAGGAGCCAACTAACGCGAGGTCCCGGTGCAAAGGCAGTAAGGATGTTGCGCCGAAAGCAGCACGACCTGCTCGCCCGAGGGACCTGTAGTTTGACATGCAGAAACCCGTGCGCATTCAGGAATTTGAGTGGTAAATATCTGAGACAAAGTATTTGTCACTAGCACGCACAACATCCCACACAATTACGCTGCTGCGACGGAGGTGTTTTTAACACTTTTCTACCATTTTCTCTATTTTACTTGGCCTTTTTTCATTTCTTCTGTTGCCTCTTGTCTATTCCATATTCTCTACTCTCCAGTTCTCCTTACCCTTTCCTTTCTATCTTCTTCCCTCCTCTACCTCTCTACCTCCTCTAACCTCCTTACCTCCTTACCACTTCCTTCTTTAGGCCAGCACTGCTGTTTGTATTAATTTATTAGTAATAACTTATAGTTATTATTAGTCTATTACTGCTGTTGAAATCGTATTTTGGTTGCTGCAGTATAGTAGCTTGGTTTTATGCGTTCACAGTGCTTGAAAGATTAGTGCAACTTCCATAAAAAAAATAAACAAAAAAAAATAAATATAAAAAACAAAACAAAATACAAACACCCTGTGTGAACCATCAATGCATGATAGGTTTATATTATGGCGGACCACTAGCAATTTTAAGTGCCCGATCTAATCGGGCGACTTTATCGCCCGATAATATCGCCCAGATTCTAGTCGCGCGAGCGAGTGCGAAACACTAGGCGATTTTATGGGGCGAACTGAAATAATCGCCCGATATATCAAAAACGTTTTGATCTATGCGATTAATCGGGCGGCGAGCTGATCTGGACACACTAGGCCATTTCACCGGCGATTTAGTCGCCCGATTTAATCGCTAGTGCTGTTACAGCCTTTAGCGACCTTGCCGTGCTATTCATGTGCTCACAGATTCGGCTGGTTTCAATCATCGATAATTGCAGCAAACTGAACTAGATTTTTATATTTATATTGCCATGTATTTGTGTGCTCGTGATTTATGGCTCAATTAATAACAGCTCTGATTGCAGCATCGAACTATAGATTGTCTATATATGTAGTTTGCTGGGGGATTTGTGCGCTTCGTTAGCGCCCAATAGCCTCATTTTTTTCAGTCAGAGACATGACTTGCGAATTATAAAAATTGGCCTTTTATGTACCGCCGCAGCGTCACGGGGTAAAAATTAGAAATTGTCAAATAGGCTTTTCAAGAGCTCTGCAATCTCAGATACTGGCATGGCTTTCTGCAAACATGTTTTTTTACATGGATATCAGGAATCGATAAACGTTTCAGCAGCCCACAGATAGATAGAGAAGTGAGCTTATCGTGCCCAACACAGAGACTTCTAGACACCGCGTAATGTTTAAACATGATAATGGCATTCATGAAACAGGACTGAAAACCAAGCGTAAACGGACACCACTCGAAACACAGAGAAACCTCAATTATATTTATCGTTAGCCAACCAAAAAACCAACAACAACCTTGGAACACTTTAGTTCTAAGACTATCTAGCATGCACGAGAAAGGCCAAAATGCTACTGACTGCCATACTGAAGACTGCAGAATGCTACAGGTGTACGCCAAGCAGCGTAAAGTTAGCCTATCCAATGTCCATTATTATCCTCGTATCTCATAGTGACAGTAATGTTAAAGTATGACAGACATAAGGAAATAACAGATAATGAGCAGTATTATGAACATATCAAGATAGGGACACGGTAGAGCCAAAACGATTAATAACGATTGTAAAAGCTGTTGGAGGGTGCAAGCTACAGAGTAAGAGCATCTAGAAATACACTGTGCCTGTATTTCTTAAATACAATCATGAAAAGAAAGAAATTATCTTCGAAAACACCAATGGTAAATAGACAAAAAGCAAACACGATTATGGCCAATATATAAAGGACATATCAAATTAAGAATAGGTCAAATTTATAATATTCCATGATGTAAAACTTGCTACAATGCTGTGGGTCGCGTCTGAAGTGCGTGGGGCGTGTGTGTTGTAAATCACATGGATTCACTATATAGAACTGCATTAGCAGGATAAAATATAGCTCTTACTTGATAAGATTCTAAGTCTCACTCTTGGTCTCAGTGTCTGCAGGAGTCCTATAATTTCACAGTGACTAAAGAATCTTCTGCAGATGAACATCTACAGTAAAAATTGATAAAATAACATCCTTATGCGCCTTTTCTTAACATAAGCATACAAGTATTTGCTCTTTGAATATCATTCTAATGGGTGAATACTGAGTATCAATAGCTATGGAAAATGCACTAGAAAAGACATAGTTAACACTGGTGCTCCCACTGCTGCCCCTTAATCCGTTATCTGCATAGCTTCTTTGCTGCAATGAAACCATTTATGAAGTTACAGTCCATGAGTTAGGAGCAATTGCGATAAGTAACTACCTAGAAATACCAATACAGTAGATATAATTACTTGGTGTTACACTGCTAGACAAGAGCTCAAGCTAGCTTACACACGAGGCCTGGAATTGTCACCCACTTGATGATAGGCGCCAGATACTATAAAAGTTTCAGTCGAAAGATTGAAGAACACAGCCATAAATAAGTGAGCATAAAGTATCGATATCTTACATGGTGAAGATAGTTTATGAAATCTATAGCTTTAACAGGAAAAACCAGAACAGTATTCATTATCATTTAATCGTAATATCTATACGATAGTTTATGCATATAAAATCAGGAGCGTTATAAATGGAACTATATTTATAGACTCCTAGATAAAATTATAGTGTAATAAATGAAGACATCATACATATTATATACAATGACCATCATCGAGTTAACACAATGACCTCTCTAATCTTTCATGTTGCACACTGTCATGCAGAATCATCGTAAATCAATGTTACTTATACCAACAAGAACACTACTTAGTTTAACATTGTTCTGATGTATATAGTAATGTGGCTATATATATATTGGTTAAGCTTTATAATCAACTTGACAGCGTAGCATCGATACTTTGTTCACATGGTACTATCGAATTGGATGGTTACTTTCATTTCAAATTTTAATTAGAAATTCTTTCAAACACAGTACCATAGTTACTGTCACGAATCGAGTGCGTGCGGGCCGTTATATAATGTTGTACGTCAAACAAAGTCAAAATCAAAAGTCAACCACAATTTCAGCCATTATCATTCGATAAGCATCTCAACACCAGCCATTAATCATTAAATTACACAATTGCATTTACACACAACATAATAGGCAACAATGTTCTTCCTATGTAATTACAAAGACGTACCCCTTTTCCGAAGCTTTGAGGGTCAGAGGTCAGCATATCCAGCAGGCAATTTTGTGCGACACAGATGCTGTGCTTCTCACAGTGACACTTAAAACATATGAATTCAAACTGTAAAAACTTGCATTTGACTGCATTTTCTATGCATGTGCGTGCAATGCGCCATGGCATTATATGGCATATATTTATCTCTTGCCTGCCATCTACATTCATGCTATGCACACTAGCTGCCTTCTTCAATTCTTTATAGAGTGTGCATTTGAAATCGCCAAGTTCTTTGAATTCTCACGATACCATTTTTGTATCATAGGAGCGTCAGCGTTGATAGCCCCACACACAATTACATAGCCGCAAGACGTATAATAAACCGTAATACATAAAACTACGAGTGGATTCAACATGATGTCAGAATTAGATCAGTCTACTTCATCTATTGCCGAACGTACATGCATGCACGCATTATTATTTGCATGATGTACAATACGCACGCAAGCGCGGCTCGATGCCACACGCAAACAACACGCAGGATGATATAGCGATAACACATGTTGTATGGCTACATTATACCACATGTTCTCTCTATTTATATACTTACAATTGTTCTGTTTTTTTTAGTAGATCGGAGCCTTGCATAGTCCACAGCCGATTCCACGATTTGTCCTTCTTCTTCATGGCACGACTTGGGAAGGTTCGCAGCTGGACGTGAAAGAACCGAAACAGGCCATATGATGCTTGCTGTGCAGCTGCCAGTGGCAGTGCAACTTCACCTGAGATGAAAGAAGAACTTCATCACCTATAACGGCACGAACCAACAGAATCACAAATTCCTAGCCAACGTCTTCATGTACTGCAACAGATCCATGACGACACAATGTCAAGATAACAACGCTGATGTGAGACATTTGCCCACATTACGAAAATTACGATGAGGACGATTGGACAGTTGCAATGCATGCGCAGAGAAGAGTCGGACAGTAATTATGTTATCAACAAATTATTGACTTATGAGCAAAGTTTAATGATCTTATAAGCATGTCCGTAGATGACTGACAGTTCTAAGTAATCAGGGCTAACATAGGTCAGCTAAGCCTTCCAATCACTTCATCCAGTTACCAAAGAAAAGCAGTTAATAACAGAACTGATATGTAGTTGTATGAATACCTCTTCGTACATATCTGAGTGGTGTCTGTGTGTGAGCACTGGCTGCCCAACTTTGTTGTTATTTTTTTTTTTTTTTTTTTTTTTTTTTTTTTTTTTTTTTTTTTTTTTTTTTTTTTTTTTTTTTTTTTTTTTTTCTTTTTTTTTTTTTCTTTTTTTTTTTTTTTTTTTTTTTTATTTTTTTTTCAAATGCTGCCATGCCCGGGCGACATAGATACGCTGAAAACAGCCAGAAAGGTGTTAACATGTGTTGATACACAAGTTCGTCATCGGACTTATTACAAAAGTAAACAAAGTTATGGTGTAAACCAACAGTCATGATAACAGTACAGTCAAATAACAAGCAACAAACGCAAGGATTAATTATGTTCTCAATATTACGTCAGTAGAGTTTATTTCTATAGAAAATATTTTTTTAAATATATATAATTGCTATATTTAAAAAAAATTAGATTACTAATTTTTTTAAATACTGAACAGAGATTATGAAACAACAAGTATTTATTTGCATACTTCAGAGGAGCAGAAGTGGCACTGTCACTATCTATGAACTCTATCACAAGCAATTGTTTCGACTGAGAACAAAC